CACACACACACACACACACACACACACACACACACACACACACACACACACACACACACACACACACACACGAATACGCACCAAAAACTATAAACAAAAAAGAAAACGGAAGAACCTCCTCTCCGGAGCAAGGTTAGCCCTGTTTCTGTTTCTGAGAACATCACTGTCCGCACACCCATCTGCCAAGCAAGGCAATACAGAGAAAGGAAAGATGAAGGAGAGGCAAAGGAAGAGGTATGAGTGGGGTAGAATAGAGGTGAAAGAGTCACTGCATAAGTCACCACCTACCTTTGCAAACTCCTCTTCTAGATTGTCTATTAGTTTTTCTTGAGCCTTGGCCTTCCCCAACATTGCTGGCATCTGCTTCTTCAAGTGAGCTATGATGTATGCATGAATGATAGCAGCTCTTGCCCGCTTCACGAACTCGTTTATCTGATGACATCATGACACAACACATAATCCGATCTCCCAAATTAAGCAACCCAAGCCCCAGAACGCAACGCATAGACTCGCGCACATACATGAAAGCATGGTGTAAAATAAACATAGCAAGTAATAAAGAGTATATATCGTCAAACAGAGCTGCCCGGTAAAGTGTAGGCAGAGAGGGAGAAGCATGTTACTTGTTCCATCCAACAAAGCATTACTGATGTCAGGATATTATGTTTCCAAGTGACTGACGAGGGTGATAAGGGCTCGCACCAACTGGGTGTGTTGTTGGGATTCAATCTGGATGATGACAAGGTGCTTAAAAAAAAAGGTTGCACCATGGCCGCGTGTTGTTGACAGTACGGAATACTTCTTCTTTCTCATCCTTCATCTTTACGCTACCAGTCCCTTGCCGAGCTATTTTGTTCCCACGACGCGGTTAACCCGCCGTGTTAAGCCACCAGTTCATGCGTGCCTCTTTTGCCCCTGATGCAGATTTCCCCTGCACAACAAAAAAAAAAACAAGCCGGGCGCCCAGGCACCCAACTTGTGCCCAGATACACGCCCAGGTGCCTGGCCGGGCATGACCCCCGGGCAGGGTCCCGGGAAGGTCCAGCGAAAAAAAAAAAAAAAAAAAAAAGAACCCCAAAAAAATCCGGAAAAAGAAAAGTTGTGTAGAATTGCAACACAAACAAACTTTTTGCTGAGGGTCACATCAGAAATCCTCACAGAACTGAAGATTGAAAAGAAAATCACCGAATCACACTAACACCCCCCCTTTCAAGTTTTAAACCCCTTTAGCCCCTTTAAAAACAATTTATACCCCCCTTCCCCCCCCTTCACAGCCAACACTCAAAAAAAGAAAAGAGCCCAGATTTGGGCTCCTCTTGGAGAGCGCAAAATACCGCAATTTTTTTTTTGTTTTTTTTTGTTTTTTGTTTTTGCCATGCCCGGGGTATCCCAAGCGTCACGCTCGGGTGACCGGCCGGTCATGAAAATCTTCCTAGGGCACATGTTTATTTTTTTTTTCCTGCCAGGTGCCACCGGCCATTTTGGTCCACTAGCACTATTCTTCTTGGAAATTGGAAACCTTAACCAGCGAAAGGTACTGGTGGTTTAAACAGGGGTTTGGCCTACCAGATAAATGGCTGGCTGCACAAGGCAAATAGAAAATAATTTGCGCCCAGGTCGGTTCCTTTTTCTTTGGCGCGCAGCAGCCATCTAGGTCGGGAAAAAGAGGCTTGGAGAGACTGGTGGGTGGTTTAAGATGGCGCGGCTGCAAGGTAGATGCCTTAGCTCAATCTCAAATTCTCAACCAATAATTTTATAAATATGCTTACAAAGTTACAGGTGGTGCTTTTCGGGTATAAGTGCGATTTAGTGAGGAAAAGTACCAGCCAAATAAAAAAGATGAAATTAGCCATTACACTTAAATCTTAAAGCACAAGTACATCCAGCTATCGGCCGCGGGCGCCCGTCAGAATCCGGTAGGCGATGCAGGCCACCGATTTTTATTATCAACGGCACGCCTGCGCCATTTTTTTCGGAAGAAACTCGTAGGCAACAAGTTTTTTTTCAGCAAGGCTGGGGCCGTGTACTAGCGGTTTAAGGCAAGCTGCTCAGCGATACGCCTTCACTTACCGCCTCATTGATGATGTTCTTTCATGGGGGCAATTACCTCCTCCTTCAGAGCACTATGGGCCCGAGTGGAAGGAAACTACGGCTACAGATGGCTCGTGTACCTTTTTAGGTATGCATCTACGAGTACGTTCTGATGGTTCGCTTCGCATGAGCGTGTTTGATAAAGCGGCTGCTTGAGATTTCCCTGTTATCCGCTATCCAAGTGCTACCTCCAACATCCCTTCCCATCAACCGGCAGGTGTGTTCACTGGGCAATTGACCAGATTTGAACGCATCTGCAATAATTGGCAGGACTTCCGAACTGCAGCRACAAYACTCACTCGTCGCATGCTTTCTCGTGGYCATTCYCCACCAACCCTYGCTAAAGGATGGACCTGCTACACACGCTCCCGCCAACGTCGCTATCCTACACAGGTCACCCGTCTCTCTCAGTGGTTCCGACGCATGCTGCGATGGTCCTTGCATCACCCACTTTCTTCTTTATCCCCACATCGCGCTCGTCCTGTCACTGCTTGTTCATCTGCTGCTAATGCAGTTCCCACTGTTGCGGTTCCCACCGCCGCTGCTTCCACCGCTGTGGTCTCCACTGCTGCTGTTTCAACTCCGGGTTTCACTCCAGCAGTTTCTGCTGCGGAAGTTGCCTCCGCTGCTCATCCTGTCACTGCTTGTTCATCTGCTGCTAATGCAGTTCCCACTGTTGCGGTTCTCACCGCCGCCGTTTCCACCGCTGCCGCTTCCACCATTGTGGTCTCCACTGCTGCAGTTTCTACTGTTGCTGCCGCTGTGGTCTCCATTGCTGCTGTTTCAACTCCGGGTTTCACTCCAGCAATTTCTGCTACTGAAGTTGCCTCCGCTGCGGTCCCTGCTACGAAAGTTGCCTCTGCTGCGGTTCGTACTACAACAATTGTCTCTGCTGCGGTTCCACTTTTTACCACTTCCTCTGCTTCTGTACCTCGAATTTCTCATGCTATAGTTTTTACTGGTATAGCTTCCT